CTCAGTCTGAGATAATTAGAGCATGCAGGTGTGTGTCTCTGAGCTGGTGACCAAGTGCCTGTAGGGAACCTCCAAATTCTTCCTGGGTTTAGCTGAGATTGGACCCAATGGCTTCCCACACAGTGGGGTTTCCTCTCAGCTAGGAAACACAATCGCTGGTATTTTCATCTCTTTTTTAAAATCCTTGCTATTCTCATGTTTACTTGGGAGACTATTTATTTATTTACTCACTTTATACCTAATGGTAGCCACTTTCCTCCTCTCCTCTCCGTCCCACCCTTCCTCCCTCTTCTCCTCTTCCCAGTCCCTTATTCCTAATAAAAGGGAAGCCTCTCCTCCAACTAACCCACCCCAGCTCATCAAGTCACACCAGGACAGAGCATGTCCTCTTTCCCTTTGACCTGGCAAGGCAGCCCTGCCAGGGGGAAGTGATCAGAAATCAGGCAACAGAGTCCATGTCAGAGACATCCCCTGTTTCCCTTACTAGGGAATCCACAGGGAGCCTGAGTTTAGGGAAATTTAGGTTGTTTTCACATTTTGGCTATTATGAATAAAATTGCAATGAACATAGTTGAACAAGTGTCCTTGTGGTATGGTAAAGCATCTTTTGGCTATATGCCTAAGAGTGGTATAGCTGTGTCTTGACATAGAGCTAACTGGATACCTACAAGTAGAAAAATGAAAATAGATCCATATTTATTACCCTGCACAAAATTCAAGTCCAAGTGGATCAAAAACTTCAACATAAAACCAGATACACTAAATCTACTAGAAGAGAAAGTGAGCGAAAGCCTTGAAATCATTGGTAAAAGAGAAAACTTCCTGAACTGAACACCAACAGCTCAGGCTCTAATATCAACAATTAATAAACAGGACCTCTTGAAACTGAAAAGCTTCTATAAGGCAAAGGACACTGTCATCAGAACAAAACAGCAGTCTGCAGATCTTCACCAATTCTACATCTGACAAAGCTAATATCCAAAATATATAAAGAGCTCAAGAAATAAAACACCAACAAAGAAAACAATCCAATAAAAAATGGGGTACAGAGCTAAACAGAGAATTCTCAACAGAGGAAGCTAGAATGTCAGAGAAACACTTAAAGATATGCTCAGTGTCCTTAGTTATCAGGGAAATGTAAATCAAAATTACTCTGAGATTCCATCTTACACCCCTCAGAATGGCTAGATCAAAAACTCAAGTGACAGCACATGCTGGCGAGGATGTGGAGAAAGGGGAACCCTCCTCCATTGCCTGTAGGAGTGCCAACTTGGACAGCCACTTTGGAAATCAATCTGGGCACTTTCTCAGAAAATTGGGAGTAGCTATTTGGAAGACTCTGAAGAGGCTCTAAGCCGAACCAGTCCTTATAAATAATATCACTGAGTGTGTAAGTTTTATCAGTTAGCAATGCAGTTCAGTAGCTAGTGGTAGCAGATGTGTTATCAGACTGCTTCTCTGAGGGGATTAAAAAAAATAGGTTGTTGTGGAGAGGTGGTCAAGCCTGAGGAGTCTTCTTGTGTTTTACACAAAACAAGGAAATTTCTTAATTCCTCATTTGGTTCCTTGAGCAGAAGGGCAAGTTAACACACAGTGTGTTTGACAGAAAAAGGACATATTTTAAAGCTGGAGTCATTTAAACTCTTACAAAAAAATCAGAAGACACTGAAATACGTTTAGCTGTCTCCTCCTTCCTGAACATGTTGCGCAATAGGGTACTGATCATTTCTGGGCTTCTGTCTGCCAACACCATAACAGACAAGAGATGCATGTTCCTGAGCCACACCAAAGTTTCCCCATGAGGAGTTGTCCGGATGCCTTCTGCTTTCCTACCGGACTTTCACCAGATCACTATCACATCGTGCACACAATCACCAGGGAGGAGGAGAAAGAGGAACATAAGACACAACCCACACCCAGCCTGAGCTCCTTATTTGGTCCTTATTGTGTATCACAGCTTCCCACCACTAGCCAAAAATACTTATGGATGAATGCTATAGTGCATGCCTCTCCATAGGAATCAGAAAGTAAGGCCTGCTAGCCTAACACTGGTTTAGGCAAGGAATTTACTGAAAGCATTTGTTGATCACTATTTCCAGCATCAGCCTTCAGCAGAGTGTCCTTTCTCATGCAATCCCAGCGACAGCCCCTTCCCATCCACCCCACCGCCTGGTGAGCTGCCCTGGCCCAGGAATTGCTGTGTTGTATTCCCATTGCTGATTACTTTCTCTCCATGAATTTTATTTCTATGAAGGGAATAACCACAACTTCTTCAACCCCTCGATCCCAAGAAACTCACCCAGGATGTAAAACAATGATGGTAGCATTTTCTGGGGGCAGAAAAGACTCTCACAATGCACAGGAGATTCAACTGTGGCAGACACACTCTAGAATGCATCAACAGGCAGCTGGGTTTAAACAGGGGTGTGAGAACATGTGCTGGAGAGATGACAGCCGTTACAGCAAAGACACTGATAAAAATGGGTGTCCACAAGCAGAAAACGATGCTAGCTACCTCATACCAACTTAAACAGACAAAAACAGAGTGAGTGCATGTGTGTATACTGAAGCTTCAAAAATGAGTAGTAGATATAAATCATGTCTCCAAAAGAGACATGTAAGTGACCAGCAGCAAAAATTTTAAAAAGCAAACATCACTAATCATTAGAGCAATAGAAATCAAAAGCACGATGGAATGGCCCCTTTTTCCACAACAGTGGCTCTCATCCCAAAGCCAGAAGTTAACACACACACAGTAAAGGACCCTGCATGCTGTTGGTAGGAATGGTAGCGGCATAGCCACAAAAACACAATGGGCGTTCCTCAAATCGAAAGTTGAACCACAGTCTGACTTAACAGTCTCACTCCCAGATGTGTATACAAAGTGAAAATCCTTCGATTTGAATAATTAGAAGAGACAGCTGCACCGCCATGTTCACTGAAACACTACTCACAACAGCCAGAAAATGGAAATAACCCTAAGTGTCCATCAACAGGGGAATCTCAGTGTTTGGGAGGAAGAGACAGGTGAGTGCCTGGGGCTCCTGACATACTTGTCAAGTTCCAGGTCAATGACAAACCTAGTTTCAAAAAAAAAAAAAATTCACTCCTGAGGAGTAGACCGCTGGCCTGCGCACTCACGGGTGCACACACCTCTCCTCTCACAAAAACGCAACTTGTCCACATGCTTGTGTTTACTGGTAAAAGGCGAGGGGTTACTGGGTGCAAAGCAAATGCTGAACAATGTAACTTAGAAATGATGAAGGTTATTGGAAGGATGTGAATGGCTTTCTATGTACATAATCGAAAACTTAAAGAAGGAAGGAATTTACATTGGAAGTGAAACACAGACAGTCCCTAAGGTCTGTTGCAGTTTTGGAAAGGCCTATTAATAAAGAGTTGTGAAGCTGGAGCTGGTGGAATGTGTCTCTAATCTAGCCTCTTAACTAGATTAGGAGGCTCAGGAGTTCCAGAATGCTTGAGTCACAGAGTGCATTCTAAGCCAAGCTGGGCTACTGAGAGAGATACTTTTCTCTCAGAATAAGCAAAAATAAGGGTTTCAGATATAGTTCAATGATAGAGTGCTTGCCTAGCTCATGTAACGCTCTAGGTTCAAACCCAGTACTACACAGAAGATCATTTAAGATCCTTTTCATTTCAAATGTTTAGAAGTCTTGCGTAACTGTGTATGTTGCAGTGTTATTTAGAAGCAAAAATTGAAGAAGGAAGATTCTGCAATGCCTTTTTTCCCCTTGCTCCAGCAAATATTCAGACAACTAAGTGGCAGGAGAAAAGGATCTAACATTATGTTTGTGCCAATAATATTTTGCTATTTATTTATTAGCTTTAAAAGCAGCAAAAATGAAATGAATATTTCCCATTCCTCCCCACTGGAAGCTGAGAGCAAGTCCCACTTGCCATAGGGCAAGCCCTTTTCTATTTGTCAGACTGTGTCATTGGCTTATGGGAAAAGCATCTACCAGTATCCCCTGCCAATAAGTACCCTCTAAAGGATTTCAGTTCTGCCAAGCTGAGAGACTGTGGAAATAAGATTTGCCCATACATACATGAGCATTGAAAACAGGCGTGCCTTCAAGTCTTAGTTCAAATTAAAGACCCTTCTAGGCCGACATGAAATTCAGAGATTACTCTTTATAGTCCCTGGCTTTTGCTAAGGGTGTTACTTTTAACTCAATAAAATGTCATATTGTTTGTGAAGAAAAGGAGTTATGCATATACAGAGTGGAATATTATTTATCCGCACAGAAGAAGAAAATCTGTCATTTGTGACAGACAGAACTGGAGACTTTTGGGTTTAGTCAAATAAGTGAGGCATGGGAAAGAGAGTGCCATGCAGTCTCACTCACATATAAATTATCACAAGGTTTATCTTACAGGAAGAATGAGACAGTGGTGAACAGAAGCTGAGAGGGACGAGAGATAATCAAGGGAAAGATATCTAACAGTAAGTCACAGTTAGATACCATTTCACAGCAGAGCGACCATATGCAATGGATATTTCTTAATGCTACTGAACAAACAGTATAGTCTTTGGCAGAAGGCTAGAAAAAAAATTTTAGAATGCTTCAGCATAATTGAACAATGTCTGAGTAGATATACTTTACTCTGATTTAAACATTATACCTTGTGTACATTTCAAAACACCACATATGGTTTTTTGTTTTAGTTGGTTAAAAACAATACTCCCCTCATTTTCCCACAGATCTTTCCCAAAACGAAAAACAGATATGGATGAGTCTATTCTGCTCATCGTTGAGACAGCGAGGAAGAACTAAAGAATCGCCCCACATGTGGTTTCAGGTCGGGCCAACAGACTTCAGCCCACAGTTAGTGACCTCATTAACTTGACCACTGAAGACTCACAGTAGACATGTTCTGACGTATGGAACCCTGAAGGTGACAGGAGGAAAACCCAGCATGCAACTGGAATCAACCTGAGGGGGGGAGGGGGAAACAAAAACAAAACAGCAGACACCTACGCTCCAGTCCAGAGTTGCTCTGGGCTCCTTCGCTGGACCATTTGCCACAGGAAGGCCAAGAGGATGTGCAGGAGCCAGATGCTGGAGGCCTGTCCGGGAGATGGCTTTCCTGCAGCAAGAAAATAAATAAATAAATAAATAAATAAATAAATAAATAAATAAATAAATAAATAAATAGATGCAGACATGCCTGCATACATACAGACAGACATGCATAGAAGAGACTCATCTGATATCATTTACAACTGTGGTGAGATACACCCCTGCTAGGATAGAGAAGAACAAATCCCCCCAATTCAGGGAGCTTGTGGCACCTCCTTTGTAATAGTACTACAGGGCCAGAAGCTGAAAGTTCCAATTCTTTTTAGGGTAGAGGGCAAGAGCAGAGCCTCTCCATTTACAGAAAACAGACAAACAAGCAAAAATCAAATTCATTAATTGGATACTTATGATACTTGGAAAACAATTCAAGTTGCCACAGATGAAATATGAGCAAAGCCCCCTCCTGCAACCCCACTGCCCAAAACAGCACTGTTCAGGTTGGTTACCAAAGGAAGTCTGCTCTTACTCCCTTCTTCTGAGAGCATCTTCCTTCTTGCAGAGGAGCAGTGTTCATTGAGCTAAATGCTCTCAAAGTGAAAAGACTACTGGCATCTGCCAAGAAACAGCCCACATTTCTTCAGCCACCCCACAGCAAGAGGAGCAGAGGAAAGCAGCAAGGGGCACAGATGCTGTGAACACCCTCAAGGCAGAGCCTCTGAGGGAAAGGGTGCAGGCAGCAGAAAGACAAAAGGCTAAGAGCAGATGAGGAAAGATGTGTTACACCTAAAGGGCAGGTGGCCTCTTTGCATATTCACTGACCTATCCAGGCTCTACCCAGCGATGGAACTGGGAAGGTTAGGCAACACAGTTGCTCTCCACACACAGGAATAAACATACCACATGCCACCACTGTTCTCTGAATGTGTCATAGATTTCAGCAAGTGTTCAGCTTTCTATGTGTCTTTTAGGGTCTCTTTGGAGTTCTACCCAGGAAGTTCCAGAAATAGGTCTTTGGTAGTTGAAAACTATCCCAACCAGCTTGCCCAGCAACTTTTCCAATCTTTCCACAGGCCTCAGGCAACACATTTGCTCTGCAATAATCCCCCAGACTCATCATAAGGATGGAAGACTTGAAGAAAGACAGTCCAATCAGTGTTCCCTTCCTGAATGTTCTCCAAGATAAGTAATTTACAACATCAATCTTGGCTCCTCATAACAAAGTGTATTCCATATCCTCTAGCCATAATTCTTGTGAAAGAAACAATGGCAAGGTGTGGTGACACAGGCCTGGAATCGCAGCATTAGCTCAGGAGCATCTGAACACAGAAAGATCAAGGCTATTCTGGGCTACATATCAAGACATTGACTTGGAAAATGAAAGGTTAAGTGGGCACTCAAAGGTGTAAGATGGCCTAATATAAGAAACAAAGGAGTGAGGAGGAGAGAGAAAGGGAGAGAAAATCTTCTATGGAAATCCTCCCACATTGTGGGACTTCTGGCATATTTCTTAGGGTTTTTCTCTAGCTTCAAAAGCCTCCCCAGTGCTAACCCACTTATCACCATTAAAAGAAAACATATGGATATGTGGATTCAAAAACATAGATTCTACCTTTGGGTCTTCAAGAGTCTCTACAACCTAAATTTATGTGTTAAAAAATACCATAGCAAGAGGGTGACAATTATAATTTCAAAGCCTAATGGGCTACATGACAAGTTTGAGGCTAGTCTGGACAACTTAGCAAGAATCAAAATGCAACTGTATGTAAAATTCTCCAGTTAAAATATTATTTGGTGGTGTGGGGCAAGAGGAACAAGAGAAAAAGAGAATGATTGGGGGAAAAGGGAGGGAGGGCAGGAAGAAGGGAGGAACGGAAAAACCTTGGGTTTACGTTTGATCATCAGACACACACACACACACACACACACACACACACACACACACACCTAATAACCAAGCAGAAAGGCTTAGGATAGCTGAAAAACTCTGAAATTCTAGATGAATTTGATGAAAAACAAGTCTTTCAGAGTTTCACAAACTGTCTCAGAGAGTTGTGGCCACAAAAAAGAAGAGGAAGAGGAAAAGAGGTGAAAGAAGGAGAAAAGAAAGAGATCAAAGAATCAACAAGGAGGAGGAAGAAAAGGTGGAAGAGGAAGAGGAGGAGGAAAGAAATAAAATTCCATTGTCAAGTCTTGGTAGAAAACACCGAGAAAGTTAGTTCGGCCCCTGAGCAACCATAGATCATGAGAGCCAAACTTTCATCACCCTTCATAACTAGGAAACAACCTAGCAACAAACTACTCAAACTGCTGAATCTGAAGGCAGGGCACTTATACAATATAGGACATTGTTGCACCTTGAGAGACACAGATAGTACTTCACCAGAACTCCCATCAAAGCATACCCTTTTCTAGCCTGTGGATAATAACAACTATGCCTTTTGTTTATTTCTCATTTATTCCTCATTATGAACACAAATTTAAGGTAGAATTTATAATATTAGCAAAAAACTCCAGTATATCTAATGCACATACAAACATTAATTAGAAGGGAAAATGAGTTAAGGGGCATCATGAGGAGCTAGCAGTCTGTGACCAAAGGTACATTTTAGAAAAGTTGATATGTAAAACACAGAATAGAAAAATCATTATTAAAAAATATTGGTGCATGGGAGGCACTGTGTTCAGCTTTCTACTCTTCTAAGTAGCACAACATTATTTTTCTAATAGTTCATACATAAACGGACATTTTCCCTCAAAGAGTAAAGGAATGTCATTAGATCTGAGACCTCAACTAAAATCAGTGTGTGTGTTTCCTACCTACAGCCATCATAGTGGTAGAAGATGGCATGAAACTCTAGCAGAATTTGGTGCATGGATGGAAGGTGAGGGCACTAGTTTAATGCTACAGTTTTCACCAGCTAAACAATGAATGGGTGTTCAACTTCCCATCCTTTCTTCCTGCTCAGAATCCTCCCAAATGCACAGACTGCAAAGCGTGAAATGCCAACGATTCTATTAACTTCACAGCATCACTTTGTGGGGAGTGAATATTCTCACAAGAGCGTGTCTGAAAAGAACTGTGATATTAACTGTGAAATAAATATGAAAAGAAAATACTTCATAATTCGGTTTCCAGAGCATAAAATCACAGTTAATGTCAATTACCTGACATGAAAGACTGTGAACACATTTTAAGTACAAAAGCCATTGCACATCTTACATAGCATTCTATTATTCCCTTCCTTCCATTCACTAAGACTGTAAACTCCTGAAGGACAGGGCTCCATTCAACCACTAATCCTGTTACGTCTAGCCCAGAGGTAGACTCTGCAAATATTCAATAAATGCTTTCCAAATTAATGAATGAACTTGACCAAGAAGCTAAGCAAATCAGCTTGCTGATTAGATCAGAACTTGAGAAATCCATTTAGGATGATTTGAGTAATATCCCAGGCTTTATACTTCAGAGATGCTTTTTGCTGAGAGGGTCCGAAATCCTTCAAAGCAGCAATTTAAAAATAAACGCAACTGAGCATGGTGGCACATGCCAGGGTTTTAATCCTAGCACTCAGGCCAAGGAAGTTACAGGAGGATAGCATATTCAAAGCCAACTTGGACTGTATACATAGAAAGACTTTTCTAAACACTCCCCAAAATAATAATAAATAAATACACATGGATGATGTAGAATCCATCCTTCAATCCAGGATTGATGGGGCATGCTTGTAATCCTTGCCCTGGGGAGGTAGGAGCAGGAGGATTACTATGTCAAGGTTATCCAAGGCCTGAACCAAGCCATCTCATAAAAAAATAAAACAGAGAACAAGAGGGAAGATGGAGGGACAAAGCAAGGAAGAGGGAAGGGAGGTAAAGAGGAAAGGACTGAGAAGGGAAAAGGGGAAGCAAAAGTAAGTAATGAAGAAAAAAAGAGAATCTAACCTTGAAATTAACAAAACAGCTCATCTTTTTGATATAAAGCAAACACTGAAATAGCATCCCATTGTCTTGTTTAGAAAGGACATATGAGAGTATTATTATTTTTTTTTTATTTTAGACAACGTCTCACCCTGTACTCATGGAGAGCTGACTTGCCTGAAGTTATTTCGTAGACCAGGCTGGCCTCAGACTCACACAGATCCTCCTGCCCCCGCCTCCCAAGTGCTGTGATTAAAGGTGAGCACCACCACCTCCAGCAAGGGTACTAATTCTTTTATAATGTACTCACCCAAATAAATATGTAGCATAAATACTCTTCATAAACAAAATATTTTAAAATTCATGAGAAGACATACAAGACTCGTTATTCAAACATGGTACTACCTTGAGATCCATTTCTGAATTTCAGTCTACTCTGATGGCAACTAATACGACTCCCAGATTCAAGCCATCCATACCTGACGCTCCACACTCTGGGCATCTACTACAAAGATGAGATTGAGCTCCTCTGCTCTGAGTGGGAATGTGCCAGAGAATGAAGAGTGTGGTTTGACATTGGGCCAGGATAGCTAAAGACTGACAGCAGAAACGATGTATTCCCCTCAACAGTCTAGAAAGGAGCCAGCTAGCTAAAAAGTTACTCTGTCTTTTGGTTATATTCCCCAAGTGCCTCAGGAGACATCCTGTGCAGTACATATAAGGCTCTGAGTTCAATTCCCAGTACTTCAAACAGTCAGAGAGACATCTTGTACAGTGCACACGTGTGGTATATGTGTCTGTGTGCTTTTCTTTGTGCCATGTAGACTTTAACTGCTTTTCCCCAAGGCAACCCATATTGCTTCTCAATTAACCTAAACAAACATGTGAAGTACTAATAGTCCACGCAGTAAGGACCAGTCCCAAGCCCCACATGAGTGTAAATATTCCATCTGTGATTTTTGTAGGGGAACAAATTGTGTGATTACTTGAGCCAAAATCTTCTTTAAAGTGCATATGAATTCAAAGTAGTTTTTGATGCTCTTAAATACACATCAACATCTTCAATGATGTAATTATTATTGAAAAAAAGAAGTTGAGCTTAGTGTCCTGAAGTGTGTTAAGTTGATCAGAAAATTACTTCAGTATTGAGTC